GGTTCGCACCAAGTGCGGGAGCGAGAGCTCCCCACCTTGGCAGTCCACCGCCCCGAGCAGGACCCGGCGCTGCTCCTCCCATGCCGCGCAGGCGGCTAGGGTGTATAGCGCCGTGTCCTCTTGCTCGGGGCAGCTCGGGGCACCGAGCGATGGGCTCCTTCCTTATCCGGTGCAGGTATCTCCCGAAACATCCGTGCCCGGTCAATACCTGCACCAGGTGGAAGGACATTCCACGCCCCCTCCTGTGTGTCATTTCCGACAGACAGGGGCGGACAGCCTCGGCCGTTGCGAGACCGGACTCATGGGGGTCGGCTAACAAGCCTACCCACCGCTCCCGGGTCCGGTAGTCAGTATGAGTCTGACATAACTCGCGACCCCCCCAAAAGGTCGGGGGTATCCATGATGGATTTCCCCTGCGTCACAAAAAAAAAAGTTTCGATAGAGAATCGTTTGCACCCGTTTGTACCACTTTGCATTTCGTTTGTACCTCAACCGTTTCGGAAATACAGCAATTTTCAGTTTCTGTCATACAACGCTAAAATGGTACTTCCGCTATTTTTTAAGTTATCCTAAGACGGACAACGAGGTTCGATAGAGAATCGTTTGTACCCGTATGTACCACTTTGCATTTCGTTTGTACCTCAACCGTTTTGGAGATACAGCATTTTTCAATTTCTCAAACAACGCTAAAATAGTACTTCCGCTATTTTTTAAGATATCTTAAAACGGACAACGGGGTTCGATAGAGAATCGTTTGTACCGTTTGTACCATTTTGCATTTCGTTCGTACCTCAACGGTTTCGGAAATACAGCAATATTCAATTTCTGTCAAATAACGCTAAAATGGTACTTCCGCTATTTTTCAAGATATCTTAAAACGGACAACGGGGTTCGATAGAGAATCGTTTGTACCATTTTGCATTTCGTTCGTACCTCAACGGTTTCGGAAATACAGCAATATTCAATTTTTCAAATAACGCTAAAATGGTACTTCCGCTATATTTTAAGATATCTTGAACGGACAACGGGGTTATATAGGGAATCGTTTGTATCCGTTTGTACCACTTTGCATATCATTTGTACCTCGACCGTTTCGGAAATACAGAATTTTTCAATTTCTGTCATGTAACGCTAAAATGGTACTTCCGCTATTTTTTAAGATACCTTAAACCGGACAACGGTGTTCGATAGAGAATCGTTTGTACCCGTTTGTACCACTTTGCATTTCGTTTGTACCTCGCTCGGTTCGGAGATATAGCATTTTTCAATTTCTCAAATAACGCTAAAATGATACTTCCGCTATTTTTTAAGATATCTTAGAACGGACAACGGCGTTCGATAGAGAATCGTTTGTACCCGTTTGTACCACTTTGCATTTCGTTTGTACTTCGACCGGTCCGGAAATACATCATTTTTCAATTTCTCAAATAACGCTAAAATGATACTTCCGCTATTTTTTAAGATATCTTAGGACGGACAACGGCGTTCGATAGAGAATCGTTTATACCCGTTTGTACCACTTTGCATTTCGTTTGTACCTCGACCGGTTCGGAAATACATCATTTTTTAATTTCTCAAATAATGCTAAAATAGTACTTCCGCTATTGGCACCCTATAGAGGGCGATCGAGAGAACGCCTCCAACAAATAGGCGGCGCGCGTGCCAACTCGGACCCCCTGGGTCTGCATTAGTCTGGCTATGACCAGACCTGCCTTTCTGACCTGGGGTGCCAGATCCCTGAAATCGGCCCTGAAGTCCCACCGGCCGTCCAGCGTCAGGCCCGGATACTTTATGCTGGGCCCGACGTGGACGCGGACTCCGTCCACCACGACCTGGGTCTCCGGTGGCGCCCCACGGCTGCCGTCGTGAAAAAAAACGGCCTCCGTTTTTTGGGACGCCACCTTCAGACCCAGGTCACGAATGGTGCTCACCACCGACGCCAAGGCCACCTCCGCGTAGAGGCGGGCCTCCCACCAGTCCTCCCCTCCGGCTACCACTAGGGTGTCATCTGCGTAGCAGATGACGTGGCAGGCTAAGGGGAGGGGCGTTCGCAAAACCCTATCGAACGCGATGTCCCATAGCAGGGGGCCCAGAACGGACCATTGTGCGTGCAATATTTTTTATTGCATTGTTATAATACTTAATTTATTACAATAACAAGTGAAATAACCATATAACTCAGTGTTCTAATAAATAATGATAAATTTTATTTGTAAATTTTATGTTATTTTATTAAAAAATTTTTCGAACGAAGTTGCATAGCTTGAAGGAGGACACATGACGGAAATGTGGACTTGACCTTGAGTGACCTTGTCAAAATCAGGCCGAGGTCATTAATGTTTTTTTAAATAGAAACTACAATTTTTTATTACATATTCTTGTAGGTTATCTCGAGAGCTTTCCAAAACACTCTAACAAAATTACATGTCATTGAGTACTTTCCGATTTATGAAGCTTGGAAGTTAAGGCAAGACCGATCATTGATCCGACCAATTAAGGCCAGATCGATTCGAATGTCTTTAGCCGTTAATAAGTCTTGGCCTTAGAAGTACGAAATAAAACCTTCTTGCTTTTATTACAATACCTTGTAAGTTAGCAAATATTCTTCGCATATATAAACATAGTATTATTTCTTTTTTTTTTTGGTGATGCAGGGGAAATCCGTCATGGATATCCCCGATCCTGGGGGGGGGGGGGTCGGTGGTTATGTCGGACTCTTACCGACTAAAACCCCTGCGGGATGCTTACCTGTCGAACCGGTAATGTGGGGAGTCAGGGGCACTGCTCCCGCATTCCCTCCCCGACACCCCGGCCCCAGGGTTCGTTTTCCGAGCCCCACGCCACCTGTTACCGCGCCCTGTTCCGCAAAGGGAATCCAGGGCGCGGTCCCAGTCGGTTTAAGACCGACCGGTTGGCCTTCTGGTTTCACCTATGGGGTGAGGGGGCATCCGCGCTCACCCCTTACCCCCCCTCCCCGTTAGTCAGGGAGGGAGGGTTTCTAGGGGAGTGAGCCCGTCCCCCAACGGGACACCACTCCCCCCATTCCCTGCTTGTCCGAAGCAGGGGGGATCCGGACTCTACACCGTAGATTTCCCGGATCCCCTCTGTCAACGGAGGCGGGCCCGAGGCGGCCGAGGAGGGCTTGAACCCCCGCTACTCGGGGGTCCTTCCGCTTCCTCGGCCGGTGTCACTTCGGGCCCTCTATTTAATTGTTCCCCTCCCCCCATGGGTCGTCGCACGCGACGACGAGTTTGATGTGATCGGCGCTCCCTAAACATAGTATTATTATATTTTTATTGAGTAGTGCACTGAACAACTATGACATTGTTCTGAGAGTTTTCTCATTTAGAGCAACGAAACAAATATATTTTATGAATTTTTTTTCGCGCAGATAGAAAATTTCACGGATGTAATTGTTTTTGGAGATTATTTAATACTGTATGAAAAATATTTATTAACTTACAGGATATTGTAATAAAAGCAAAGATGAATGGGTTATTTATTAAATATATAAATTGGTAAATTTTTTCTGTTGCCTTTGGCTATATATGTATCGAATCTCAGAAGTTTGTTAGAAATCATATAATTGTTTATTTGAAATTTTATTTTATAGTTTATTTAAATTTATGTTGATTTAATCTGTATACATATTCTGTAAAACCAAAGATTAATATATATATGTATATATATATATATGCATATAATAAATAGTTTGTTTTAAACGTAATATATGTATGTATATGTAAAATATAAAATATTAAAGATATAAGAATAAGTTTTTATATTTTTCTTAATTTAATCCTAAGAATATATCAATAAATTTATTAATATTTTCCATAAAAAATTTTGACTTTTTACAATTTAACTTCGTAGTTAAATGTATTAATTATTACAATAAAATAAATATTTAATACAATTTATTACCTTTTTTGAACATTATATTTGCTTATGATTAACACACTCACATTAGGGAGAGTCTACAACCTTGCTTTAAACCTTAAACCGTAAGCAAATTGATCAACCATAGTCGATTATTCCAAGGATATGTTTCTTTCCAGATTATTCTAAGAATAATTGACTGTGGTTGGTCAATTTGCTTACAGCTTACGACTTAAAGCAAGGTTATAGACCCTCCCTTAGATATACGTGAGTGTGGTAACTTTTATAGTTTAATTCTTTTATATTGTACTTATTAATAATAAAATGTACAATAGTCTACGTAGTTTACATTGTCTACATTATCTACGAGGGAAAAAGGCCATGTAAACAATACGTAGACTACGCGTAAACAATCCATGTAGACGTAAACTTGAAATCTACGGCACAACCCTGCCGGAGAGAGGAACGGTCGGTAAGAACACCAAGGGGGCCAGGACACAGTATTGTAAGAAATAAGCGAGGGATGTCAGCATCATCCAGTTCCAGGTGGAGTCACTGCTAATGGACAGAACTCAACAGTTCAGGCGCGGCCGATAGGACGGGAATATAAAAAGAGCCACCGTAAAGAACGGAGGAGATGAAACCGAGATAGAGCCGAGAGAGACGAGAGAGCCGAGAAAAGAGCGTAGGAAGCGCGTCAGAAAAGAGTCGAGTCGAGAGTAGAGAAAAGAGTCGAGTCGAGAGTAAAGTCGAAGTATTATAAAACATTGTATTGTACGGAAAGACGGTGTCGGTTATATGTCTAATTGTGTTTATTTTACAATATATATATTCAGTCTTATATTGTCTAATAAGAGTGAGTTTTCTATTTATCGACCGCAACCCTCACATCCTGATAATCACACTGTTTAAACAAAGAGAGGAGATATTCTGAAATCTTATAATATCATATCCAGAGTTTTCTTTTGTCTATTGGATTCGTAACTTTACAACAATTTATCAGAAGCGGGATACCGCCCATTCCAGTAAGCAGTTTGAATTAAAATAACGGTAATTAAGAATCGAGAAAAGAAAATGAACCGAAACGCATTAGATGGAATGTCGCTGAAGCAACTGCAGGAGGAGGCAGTAAAATTCCGCTTGCCGGTGTCGAATGATCGGAAGCGGATGATCGACCTATTGATGTCACATCTGGAACAGCACGGGCCGATGAGGGACCTGCTAGGGAGAGAGCTCCAGATCGGGAGAAGACCGGCAGACCTCAGCGGAGACCTCAGCGGCAGAGCAACCAGAGGAAGAGCAGAGGCAGGGGGCCCTGCAAAATATGATGGAATTGGTGACAGACAGCCTGGCAAAAATGCAGAGACTTATGCAGATGCAACAACAGCAATTCCTGCAGCAGCAGCAGAGCCAATTCGAACGATTACTCCTCATTTTAACGAACAGAAGAGAAGAGGCAGGTTAGACGGCGGGCGGCAATCACCTAAGGCCCGTAGCAACATCGGAACTCCAAAGTGGAGGACGGTCCACGCAGATTTCCACACCGTCGGTAAGCGACGGCGCGGTGGCGGGTCAAACGCCTTTAGAACTGCCGCAATCGCAAATTTTGGTTTCCTCATTGGCGTCCCGGATCCCGGAGTTTGGCGGATCGAAAGAAGAAAACGCTCGAGTGTGGACGCAGCGAGTGAATTGCGTTGCCGCAATACACGGACGGAGTGACACTACTTGCTGCAACAGCGAGGTTGATGGGAGCGGCTAAAAAATGGTATGACTCCCAGTATGGATCAATTCTGCAAACCTGGAGAACGGTGAGAGAAGAACTATTAAAAATATTTAGTCGAGAAATTCCTTTTCATAAAATCATGAGTAAAATCGAGAATCGTAAATGGAATTTAACTAAGGAGTCGTTTGATCAATATGCTCTCGACAAACTGGCTTTAATGCATAGGGCGGAATTATCGATTAAAAGTAAGATCCAACTGCTGATCAGCGGAATAACCGTGAGCGCGTTAAGGGCTACTGCCTTATCATTGTCGGCAGAAACAATAGATGATTTTTTAACGAAAATGAGACGGATTGCGAATAGTGTAGCCGAGACGGAGAGGAGAGCGCCGATCGGGTCTAACATAACGCGCGCAAGAGAAGTAAAGTGTCGTAATTGCAACAGAAAGGGGCATGCACATAAGGACTGTCGAATTGAGCCGACGTGCTTTTTCTACAAGGCGAAAGGTCACCGACAGTTTGAGTGTCCGGTCCTGAAGCGACGAGAAGGAGCCGTTGTTCCAGTGAGAGCACCAGCCTATGAGGGAGGACGTCGAGCGGCAGGAGACGATGCCCCACGACACCCCGTAGCCGTGGTACAGGAGCAGGAGATGGTGCAGGAGCAGGAACAAGAGCTGCGAGTCAGCGAGCTCTTTGTCCCAATATCAACTATCATGGGGTGCGTTCAAATATCTCACCTGTCAAGTGCAGGTAAGGTGGACCGGGAGTAGGCGGGGCTATTGTCGGGTGATTTCGGTAGACTGAAGAATATGAACGCACTTGGGGGCCATGAAGGCGCCAGAAAGAAAAAGTACAACGACAAACATTAACTTTGTTCAAGATGGATCATCGAGCAATTGTAGCATTAGCTGTTACTATTAGTAATAACTTTTTACAAAAGATAATGGAAAGTGACAGTGACAGTAGTAATAGTGACGTGTCTGATGGAGAGTTAGATATGCAAATACATTTGCAATTGCGAGGACCTCAACACAAACCTACAAGAATTGGAGGTTATGTGGAACGTACAATCCCGCAACTTAATCGCGAACAGTTCAGGAAACATTTTCGCATAACTCTTACAACATACAATCAGCTCGAACAGAAATTGGTACCAGCTTTACAAGAAGATGTCGGGATAAAACGTCATATACCAGTTAGAAAACAATTGCTTGCAACCCTTTGGTTGTTGGCTACACCAGATTCTTACAGGTAAATTCCTCTTAAGATATTTTTCTAAAGAAATAATGATAAATTTACAATCATAAATTTTAAAGTATGTTATGTTTATATAATTTATGACCATGAAAATTGGAAGATGTTTGATTGTAAATCTTGCTTATGAATAATCATTTATTTATTTGTTTTAGATCTGTAGGAGAAAGGTTCGACATGAGCAAAAGTTCATTGAATGTCAGTTTTATGAGGGTTATACAAGCCTTGAATAATATTGCTGAGGATATTGTACAATGACCAAGAGAGGAAAGATTAGCAACAGTGAAACAGAAATTTCAGAGGTTGTCAGTGCTACCTGACATAATTGGAGCTATAGATGGTACTCACATTTCCATAAAAAAGCCATATGTAAGTTTTTTGTTTTAAAAGACAATACAAGTTCTTCTTTTGATGGGTTTATTCAATATTCTCATGATATGATTTTATACAGAAAAATTAATGAGTTTGCTTAAAATTAAAATAAACATGTGATGTCTCTGAATATCGGATTTACAATGTTAAAATTTGCCATGATTCTTTTACAGAAAGACTGTCTGTCCTATAAGACATACAAGAAAAATTACGCTGTTATACTTCAGGCTGTATATGATTCTGAGATGGCATTTTTGGATTGTTTTGCTGGTTATCCAGAATCTGTTGGTGACATAAGAGTGTTCAGAAATACTGATCTATGGTCAGAAGTGCAGACAAATAGACTGTTGTATTTTCCTAATGAAGAATATATTATTGGTGACAAGGCTTACCCTATATTACGTTGGTGTATTTCTGGTTTTCGTGATCATGGCAATCTTACTGCGGTAAAAACATACTTAGTATATTTGTTATTTACATCTAAAGAAACATAGTTTTTCATTTTTAAGTTTCCCTTATACGGTAAACATTTTCTTAATTTTCTACTCATATTTGATCCATAAAATTATCAAGGCATTTTTCTTTTGCAGGCTCAAAAGAGATTTAATGACGTGTTGTCTAAAGTTAGGCAAGTCATTGAACGAGCATTTATGTTATTGAAAGGACGATTTCGAAGACTGAAATATCTTGATATGAATAGAATAGACATAATCCCTTTTGTGATAATTGTTGTACAGTTGTACAGTTCTTGTACAGTTCTTGTACAGTTCTTCACAATATTTGCCTTGAAAGACTTGATGATGACATAAAAGAACATATCCTAGAAGGCCAGGAAAATGAAGTCCATGCTGTTCAAAATGTATTACAGACAGATGAAGATGATGCTGGTGTGGCAAAAAGAAATTATTTAGTAACTCTTGTGTGATAATAACATAATACTGACTACGTATGTTTAATATGTTTAGTAAATAATCATATAAAGTTTCCTGCTAAAGAATAAGGTAATTAAATTAAAGTATAAATATTTGTAATAGAACATTTTTATTCATTAAATCATGTAATCGTATTCTCTCTCTCTCTCTCTCTCTCTCTCTCTCTCTCTCTCTCTCTCAAAAAATATATTTTTAAGAACGTGACTGAATTATTAATTAAATTAGTGTTTTAGTTGACAACATAAACAATATTCAATGTTCTCTATATCCTGCGACGTGATTTCTTCTCGCCGTCGGCAAATTGCCGTCGGCCCACGCGCACCGGCCGCTCGCACTCGCACCAAAGTAGTTGGGCGCCAGGTACAGCGGGCTGCACCGATCACCAACACGAAACGACAAACCACCAAATAGCCGAGACACGCGAATCCGACGGGACCGATAGCTCCTCGATATTTTAAGTCGGTAGACGGGAGGGTTCAATCGGGAATCTGGGAAGTAGTTGGGAAAATGCAAAAGTAACACTGCGCGTTTGTATTATCTCACTTTTATTTCACGGGAATCGGTACGGTCCGACCCCTCGATACGATACACTCCGCGATGTGCTCTCGCGAATTCGAGACTTGCTCTGCGCTGACAGTTAGTCCGAGACACGGTACGCACGGGACACCGAAATAGAAAATCAGGTGGTCGGTCTTACACAGTCGGGAACCTCCCGGCGGCGTGATCCTCCTCCTTCCTCCGCTCGCTCCTACGCAACGCAGCCACCAACGGTAATCCTCGGTGAGTGTGGCATAAACTTAAGCGCTCGATAAAGGTAGATGATAATTGGTTTCACAGTGATATCCGATAGTAGAAGCGATAATGATCCGTACTAGTCGACAGCAGACTGATTATGGAAGAGAGAGCGAAAACGGTAGTTCGCTCTTTTATTTGCTCTCAAAAACAGTGTCTCTCCTTTCTTCCTTATTGTGTCTCGAGGCTCTCCTCTCCCCGTTCCTCGTTTTTCTTCCAATACGGGAATCCTTCCGCGGATCTTTGTTTTCGATCCGCGGGACGGATGCTCGGTCTCACTCTCGCACGTTCTTTCTCTCTCTCTCGCGCTCCCGCTGTCTTTGCGCGCCTAGGCAGGCTTTGTTTAGCACGCGGTCACGCTTCGAGCACGGGAGCGACGATACATTTGCCTGATATTTCTACGGGCCTGTGGACAACGGAAACGGCAGCGAGAATCTTTTGAGGCGATATGGGAGTCGGTAATTAGAAAGATAAGGAGGAGTATTCACCTGAGGTGGCTGTCCGGGCGATGGGTGACGTCCTCTTCTTCCTCCTGGCTCCTCCGGTCTTGATGGTCGGTGCAAGAGGTCCAGGGGCACAAAGCTCGGGGACGCGGGACTGTCACACCTGCGCGCTCTTATCACTAACAATAATGCTAATTACAATTTCGGGGGAGGGTCCTTTGCAATTCGCGCACCCCTTAGGACCTTCTTCCCCCCCCCCCGCCTCGCGGTATAGGACTCGCCATCTTGTGACGGGCACCTCCGCGGCTTCTACGTCACAATTCTTATTATCCTTATTATTACATAATCCCTATTCTCTACTCTATTAAATCAATAACATAAATATCTCATATTTTAGATGTATAAAAATATTTGAAGTAGGACTAGAAATCTTGAAAAAAAAACCTTAAAGTTACATAATTATGTGAAGTTAACTTCAAAGTCTATATTAGAACTTCAGGACTTATACTAAAATATTAATGCTTAATATTAAGTATCAGAAACAAAACAAAGAATATATGCATAATCTTATGAATGAATATGTTATGAATATATACTTAAGAATTGTAGCAAATAAGTGAAATCATATATCATGAATTTTATCTTTAAACATAGATTTCTGATACCCAACGAAAGTATTAAGTGTTTTAATCACAACAGAAACACGAAAAAAATAAAATAATTTTAAAAAGCGATATATATTGGTGAAAACAGGGAAAAACTGCACTACTTCTCTATTCTCTACTTCTTGCATTCCTTATAACTTCTCTAACTACAACTTTTCTAATAGTCGGTTCATTGCACTTTGATAAATTTCAATTGCATGATCTTGACGCTGCATTCGTTCAATATGCCTGTTGAGCCTCTTCCTTTTTTTTAGATTCCTCTGTTCTAATAGCAAGTAGTCTTTCGAGATTTCTTTCAGTAACACTTTTCTTTTTCTTTTTAAATTTAGGGGTACAATCATAACCACGATCACTGTCATTTTCACTATTACTGTATAAAGTTGCAGAAGCTGTGCTTGAAGAGTCCTGGGAATCAGGTTGATAACGTTTTTTAATGTTGGAGCTATGCATACAGGTTTCACAGCTGGTTTATCACCAAGAACATCATCCATCTCTTTATAAAATTTGCAGGTAGCAACTGGAAGGCCACTGCTTTTTTCATTTTGGTCCCTAGCTTTTATATAATGTTTCCTAAGGTCCTTGAATTTATCCTCACACTGCTGACCAGTGTAGTTCCACAGTGGATTCTCTTTTTTCAATCTACTAGCTATCATTTCCCAGACTTTTTTATTAGTAATAGTAGTGCTCTTGAAATAGTTTTCATGTTCCCTCCACTCTTCAATGAGGATTTTGACAGCATGGTTATCTTTCCATGATGTTGCACCTATACAAGAAATAAGAATTAATAATAAAGTGATATATGAAAAGGTGGAATTACAATTAAAAAGTAAGCGTACTTTTTTCTTGCTGGAGATGTCAGTAAGCTGTTGACTTTGTGAACTTTCATTCTCGCCAGGGTGAGGAAACTCATATATGTTTTCAAACCGCATTTTAATTCCGCTTGTCTGGTCTATTAGCCCAGGTGGCACAAGGCTACAAGTGTTGCCTGATGTCAGCTGTCTTTACTGTGACTGTGTTCCGAAATTTGCTGCCAGTACTAAAATTTAACAGTATACGTGACGTAAAGTATAGATTTTCAATACTGGCAGTGAATTTCGGAAAGCCTGTATCGTTGGAGAAGTACTGATTTTAATAATAATATAAAGTCCGGTGAGTGCCGCCGTGTTGAGTAGTTCAAGTTTAATCTAACAATTTAATCTAACAATTTATTTTAAGTTTAATCTAACAATTTTTGCTTGGATGGATGATATCATCCGTGTAGTCTTGTCGGTTCTCATCTCTTTCTCTTTGTGTTTAGATGGTAACATTCATTCTCTAATCATTATCTGGAGACTGGCGTAAGGATATATCTGTTTAGACGTCCATAGCCATATATATTGAAGGAATAAAGGAAGGATTGATAATAATATAATATAATATTACCTGATTTTTTAAATGTAAGTACTCTGTTAATATTTTTTATGCAAGTAGCTGTTAATTTTCTTTTTGTTGAATGCTAATATTATTTAATATGATAAATGAATGAAAATTACTTTTTGTGCTGGGATTCTGTAACTCGTTATTAGAGATTAAGACAATTTTTTCGTTATCGTTAAGTCCAATAATGAGTTACAGAATCCCAGTACTGATTAGAATAATTTTATTTTAGAATATAATGACCAAAAGTGGGTGGAAATGCGTGGTACTACAATGTATATCAAATACTAAAGTTCCTGGACATTTTTTTCCGAAAAATCTGAACATGCGAAAGAAATGGCTTGATATGGTCTCAATGCCACAATTATATTCTTTATCAGAAAAGGAGATTCGGAAATGTAAAATCTGTCATTTACATTTCAGTGAAGATGCATATATTTTTAGTTTGCACCGTAGAAGATTAAAACATGATGCAATCCCAACTGTCAATTTACTTTAGCAAGAAACAGAAAATATACTTCAGCCGAGTACAAGTGTTCAAAATTTACCTGTGCCGAGTACAAGTATTCAAGATTTACCTCAGCCGAGTACAAGTGCTCAAGATTTGCCTCAGCAAAGAATTGAGAACATACCTCAGCCGAATACAAGTGCTCAAGATTTACCTCAGCTGAGTACAAGTGCTCAAGATTTACCTCAGCAAAGAATTGAGAACATACCTCAGCCGAATACAAATGCTCAAGATTTACCTCAACTAAGTATAGAAACGACTCCAAAGAGTTCTCGTGTTACGACACATACTCGAAGAAGTATACTTGGGACTGTCACTAGACAGATCCAATTGACTCCAAAAGCCAAGCAGTTATATAATAAAACGGTTGTACTTCGGAAACGCAATATTGTTTTACAAAGGAATGTTGTAAGTTATAAAAACAGACTGAAATATGCTAAAAAATTTTCAAACCATTTCTTTAAAAATTATCAAGTCTTAAGCAATTCCCAAAAAATGTTTATTAACATGCAGTTGAAAAATGTGAAAAAAAAGCCAAAGGTACATTTTTCAACATTTTGCAAAAATTTGAAATTAGAAATAAAAAACATGCGGTGAACATGCTTCAGTATTTCTAGAAAACATAAGTCTCAATAATTCATAATTATAGGAAAATATGTCATGTTATGTCAATTTTCATTAATACTCTTCAGAAACTAATTCTTTAGATGTGTTAATAATACTTATAGTAAGTTTTTAGCTTTTAATTGTAAATCATAACTTATATTGTCATTTCCACTAAAAAGTGTTTCCTGTCCTGCCTACATTTATAATTTCTTCTCTATAAAATTTTAGCTTATTTACAATTTAAAGTTTAACGTTTATATTAGGCAATAAGAAAAAAGATTTTGGTAATGACCTTCTGACTTTATTTTGACATAAAGTTACATCTTATGACCTACAGCAAATAGCTAAAAAGTTATACTTACAATATATGAGGCTTTTTATGTATTTAGAGGAACTACATTTGATGTTGATCGTGTATCATAATTATTATCTCAATATTTTTATTGTATGTATATATATATATATTGTATATATTATGTGTATATATTGTGTATATATTGTATATATTATTATTATTGTGTGTATGTATATATATATATATTGTATTTTATATATAGGGTAGGAGGTTTACTTTACAGGAAAAGGTTGTGGCATTATCATTGTATAAACAATGTCATAGTGGTTATACATTTCTGCAACAACTATTTGCTTTACTAAGTAGCAAAACTTTACGACTTTTGCTGCAAAAAGTTCCATTACATACAGGTATAAATAACGTTATATTTTCACACCTATTCCAGCAATCGACATTTAAAAATGCGAAAGATAAAATATGTATACTCATGTGGGATGAAATATCTTTGCAACCTCAATTGCAATATGATACAATCAATGATAAAATAGTTGGCTTTGAAGATTGGGGACATAAACGAACGCAACGAATAGCTGATCATGCACTTGTATTTATGCTAAGAGGTATAAGAACTGGTTGGAAAATACCTTTATCGTACAATTTTTGCAAAAGTCAAACAAAAAGTGGTCAATTAATATATTGCATCAAAAAAATTGTTAAGAAAGTTGTACAATCCGGTTTCACTATTATTGCTACAGTATGTGACCAGGCTACATCAAATGTATCTGCAATAAATGAATTATTGAATCATACAAGAGGAATGTGTTTAAGAAATGATGAAGAATTTGGTAAGTAAATTTTCCTTACACATATATACATATAAACCGAGACGTGTTAATAAAATATATGTATTTTATGCATTTACTTTGAAAGAATGATTTTTTGTTTTTTTACAGAGTTGGAAAATGTATATCATGTTAGCTCATAAATATATCATGCGATAAGATGTAAATAAAAATATTATTTCAGATGGAACGATTATCCTATATAATCAGAAGATAATTCATCTATATGATCCTCCTCATTTAATAAAAGGAATACGAAATAATTTTCTGACTAAAGATATTGAAATCGATATAAAGTCTTCTACTGAAAGGAAGTTTGCTTCTTGGGACATAATTGAAACTGCTTATCATCTCGACATTTTTAATAATACACTAAATCGTCAGCTAAAAAAATTAACGGATGAACATATCATAAGAAGCAAGATAAAAAAGATGAAAGTAAAATTGGCAACACAAGTTTTCAGTGGAACTTTATCAGCATTTATTGAATATAACAGTCGAATACAAGGTAATTACACAAAATTGGTAATAGTAATTAATAACACTATAGTATTAAAATATATATCTATAAATATTATTTATTTATGATTTCATTAGTTTTTCATAAGAAAAACTTAATTTTAGTTAATTTTTATAACATACAAAAAAGAAAATACGTTACAAAAGTAATTAAAATATTTAAAAATTTGTTTTTCTTAGGTTTTGTTGAAATGAATGTTGGGCCATTACAAATACCGCAAAAGGAAGGATTTGCAACAGCACAAGTTTTGGATTTTTTTAACAAGTTATTTGATTCTGTAAATGGACTTCAACTTCAGTCAGATATACTCCTACGAGTCACTGTTAAAAAAAATCATTCAAAGCAAACATCATTCTTTCTGGTGTGATGCCATTAAACTATTAAAAGATATGCGGTTTGTTAACAAAACAACAAAAAAACCAATGTCTATTCCTTCTTTAAATAACTGGATAACAACTACTAAAGGTTTTCAAAAATTATGGACAGCTGTGAATGAAATGGGAATGAATATTTAAAAACACGATATATAAATCAAGACCCATTAGAACATTTTTTTGGAATGATAAGAAGTCATAATATCCGTAATATTAATCCTACATGTGCAAATTTTGAATTCTCTTTTAAAACATTATTAATAAACAATTTGACGGGAAAACGTAGTGTAGGTGGCAATTGTGAAATTGATGACAATGGAGAAGCTTTATTTTCCTTGCAACATTTCGTAGAAAATAGTATTAAAACATTAAATACCTCAAATGAAGATTTAATCGAAGAAGGAATCGATATTAATGATATTTTTACATTAATACAAAAACAAATTGGAACTGGCAATTGTACAGATGATTACAAATGTGTTGTTAACAAATTATTGCATATGCAGTCTTTTAATAATTGTTCTTCTTGCAGAGAAGGTATCTTATTAAAAGAAATGGAACTTGCTGTAATTATTGCTTTTACAACATGCAAGAATAAAATATCATCTGTATGTTTCCGCACTCAGTTATCTAAAAAATTAAATGCTATTATTAAAGAAGAAGTAGATCTCCAATTTTTTATATGTACTGAACATAAACAAGACTTTAACATTATTTTTATGGAAGTTATCATAGAACATTTTTCTATATCTCTGTGTTGTTCGAATATTAATAAAAAAATTAGAAGCAAATGCATTACAAAACCGCAAAATATTATAGAACAGCAAGCTATGCAGTACTATTATAAGAAATGTAAAAAATATTAATTCGCGCAATAATTATTTCCATTAATTTATATTTTCATTTTTTTAACATTCATAATTTATTCTTATATTTTATATGTAATAATAAACGCAATAAATGTTTATATTTTGAAATAAAATTGTTTTTTAATTTAATTATTCTTTTTACCTTATCAGTACATATTATCGACATCTTGTAAATTTGCATTGTAGTACCGAAAATTCGGTTTATTAGCCCAGATGGCACTGTAATACTAGTCTAACTCTTTAATATGGTAGTTTCCTTACTCTGATTCTCGCAGTTCACAGTGAGCTGCTCATTAGACAATAGTGTTTCTGTTTCTTGAGTTTTACCTATTCAATAAGTATTTAATCTTTAGAGATTTATCGTGAATAAAATAGTCTCATATATAATACTTAGTAAAATAGAGGTTAATAAAATAAAAAGAACTTGCCTGAGGAATTTATTTTTACTTGTAGATTGAAAGATGCTAGATTTTCAGGTGTCATATCGAGGTGCACTGGACAATTACCTGTAGCAATAAAAGAAATATAAATCATGAAAAGATCGACGAAGAAGAAATTCATATGAAACCTCGTCTATCATAACCTCTTTTTATGTACAACGTTAATAAAATTATATCAATGATAAATAAACAACTTGCCATCAACGTCCCACACAACTAGCTTATTGTGCTCAATAACTGGAGAACCATTCTCCGTGACTACGAGTTTCAGGTTCATTCTTTGTGTAGTAAACACTCTTTTTCACTTTATCGTCATTTGTTTATTTGACACGAAAAATATTTAAAATTTACTCGCTGGCACCCTGTATCAAGAGCAGGGTGCTTTTCTCCCTTCACCCGGGTGTGTTCGAATGGAATCTGAACGATATACTAAACGCCACCTGGGTGGAAGCAAGGGGAATCTGAACGACGTTTAGGTGGTTCGGGGCACCTAGGTGGGAGATCTGAACGCACCCATGAGTGAGCGATGCCAATATAAAGTGCTTATAGACACGGGCAGCCCGGTCTCGTTTATTAATGAAAAATTATATAATGTTCATATACAGCCGACAATTCCGATTTTAAGACCGGTAAAAACAAAATTATATAATTTAAATGAGCAACCGTTAGCGATATTAGGAATAGCCCCAGTAAAGCTAAAGCTCGAACCGACAAAAAATATAGAGTATAATATCTTTGTCTTGTCGAAACATTTGTTCCAAGGGGAAATCATCCTTGGGCGCGATTTTCTTTACAAAGAAAGAATGTCTTTTGTTTTTCGACCGCGAGCTGAAAAAGCAGAACGAGTTCGCTTATTTGAACAATTGCCTCTTTGTATTGAAGAAAACATAGAGAAGGCACTAAAGGATCGTTTAAATGACATTAAAATAAACTATGATATGAAAACGAAAGAGCGGTTACAAAAGCTATTGTTAGCTATAAGAGACAACGAGATCGAAACAATCGAAGACGGGCATGCGATTCGGGTACCCTTGAAGGACAATTCGATATAGGCGTATGCTCCGCGACGGTTTGCGTTCGCCGAGCGCGAAGAAATCAAAAATATTATCGACGATCTGTTGGCACACGACATAATAAAAGCATTTCGCCTTATTGTGCGTGAACTGTACCAGTGAAAAAACGAAGTGGCAACTTACGGCTATGTGTCGATTTACGACCTCTGAACAGTCGAGTCGAAAAACAAAAATATGCATTTTCGATCATCGAAGATTGTCTGTCGAAGCTAACGAATAAAACCATATTTACGCTATTAGATATTAAAAATGGATTTCATCATATCAAAATAGATGAACGAGACACTAAATATTTTGCATTCGGTACTCCAGACGGCCAATATGAGTATAAAAGATTACCATTCGGCTATAGCGAAGCACCGGCCGAATTTCAAAAGCGACAGATTTTTAAACCTTTGATTAGTGCCGGAAGAATTATTGTTTACATTGACGATATTCTGATCGCGTCAAACAATGTAACCGAGCATCTTAAAATAATCGAAGAAGTAATGATTATTTTAAAGCAATATAAATTCGAGCTCAATTATGACAAGTGTTTGTTCTTACGCAAAGAATTTCTAGGCTATGTCATGGGGGCAAACGGCATCACGTTAAGCCAACGGCACGTAGAAGCGATTAAAACGTTTAAAGAACCACGGACGGCGCATCAAGTACGACAAGTTTTAGGGTTGGCCGGCTATTTTGGTATGGATGGAGGATGCATCTGGGAGTTGTGGCGTCAGGGAGGCGTTGGGCTTGCCCTACGGCATAGCCGGAGGTCGAAGCCTCCTACATAGCCCTACACCAATCACTATATCGGCTGTTAGCCACAGTAACCGTAAACCAATAAATCAAATCTTCGGTTAAAGACTCTTCTCGGCTCCTTCTTTTCCCTTCCTTTCCTTTATTCAGTTGAACAAAACATCAAGACAGGACAGTCTTATATTGTCTAATAAGAGTGAGTTTTCTATTTATCGACCGCAACCCTCACATCCTGATAATCATACTGTTTAAACAAAGAGAGGAAATATTCTGAAATCTTGTAATATCATATCCAGAATTTTCTTTTGTCTATTGGATTCGTAACTTTACAGTATAAGTAGATACAGTAAGTTCACTGAAGCTAAAATTCATGAAATGGTTTTCACTTGCGCTTGACGGAAATGCACACTCCACAACATGGCAGCCTGCAGGAAGTGAGACGTACCATAACCTGAAAGCAATATAATCTGCACAAAAGATAGAGGTCGACGCAATATGACAAGCACGAAATGTGAAAAAGAAACTTATTGTGTTTTGTGTGTGAAAAATGTATATTGTGTAATACACTATTGTTTGCGACTCCGCTCCCGGAGTGAAAATAAGCGGATGCCAGAAGACCCTTATCAGAAGGATCAGAGTTGAGGATGGTAATAGGCTCAGGTCTTGTACGGCCTGTTCGAGTCGTAAATCTTGGCCGAAAAACCGCGTAACAAAGATGCCTACGGGCGTTAAAGTGAAACGACCTCCGTCGTTTCGGATGGCCTGCCCTTCCGGACTAAACGACCTACCACGTTCCTGAGAAGCGTCGAGAGGCACTAGAGAACGCGCTGAGCTCGTGTCGCCCGAGAGATGACTCAGTTGCTCCGGGGCGACTAGTCAAGACCTTGAAGACGCTTGGGCAGAAAGCTCAGAGTTCTCGAAGAAGCGACCTTGTCGCTTCTGAACGCATGAAGATCCTAGACGGATACTAGGCAAGAGAGAGTTCGCAAATCTCTCTAGGAGACGGCAACGCCGTTCCTAACAGCCGAGGTCTTCGACGGACGCTCGGAGATAGAGAGTTACTCGTTCCACACGGAGGCGATCGAAGTTCGCTCCTGAATCGTGGCAACGAGGTAAACTCTAAGCTAAAGTCGATTCACCATAAAGCTTCAACCCAGCAGGGTCTATTGGCACCGCAGTTAACTCAGCAGAGTATAGATTGCGTTGGTTTGAATCTTGACGATGCGCGAAAAGTGCTCTAGGAGAGTCTAGAGAAAACATCGGTAAAGACGGGCGCTATAAGTCGCACAACCCTAACACCAGGGATTGCCACAATCGGCGTTGGGCCATGCGAAGGCGCCGCGCCGGCCGTTGCGCTGGATGATATACCCGGCCGGCGGAATTTTGCCCGCGAGTTGCGGAGTCGGGTGGCGCGCCTCGTAGCAGCCACGGCGGGAGCTACTCGCCGAACGAGACCCCTACGCCGACTTCGAGTAAGCCGGCGCCGGGAACCCATGCCGCCCGCCATGCATGACAGACAGGCTCTGCTCGCGTCTCTAGGACGGCACACTCACTCTTAAACAACTATGAATAAAAGAAGTGGGTACTGGTGTGCCTTTAAAAATTGTTGAAATACAACTATGGAGGAACGAGGAAAGAAAGAAACATTATTTAGATTTCCAAAGGATACAAAAAGGTGAAGTGTTATTTATGTATTATTTAAACGATGACATTATTATTATTAATATATGAAATCTAGTTTACACACACTTGTTTTCCTGGGAAAACCTAATTAAATTGTATTCATTTTAGCTAGTGAAATGTATGTAGCTAGTAATGTAAACACATCAATATAAGAAAAATGTATGTTTAGATCAAAATTATGGATCGCAGCCTGTGGCAGGAATGATCTGTTATCGAAGACACCCATTGAATTATACAGGAATTACAGAATATGCAGACTACATTTTAAGAGATATGTTTCTCAATTACGAGCAAACAAGACTGCAGCCACATGCTATCCTAAACTCGACTTTCAGAAGAAGTTCAGAAGGTAAGTTAGTTTAAATAAAAAAAAATAACTATATATTATATATTTAGATTTTTTAAATAATTTATAATTATAGATAAGGCAGAAAGTACAGAGGCACAAAATGTTAATGTTATGGACGCAATACTTACAGAAGGTACTACAGTGGAAATAGATACAATTGATAGTTTAGGTAAAGTCTTATATCAGGTGTAGTAAAAAGAAATCCATTATTTTTGCATGAAATTGAAGGCCCATGAAATTTAATTACCATAGTTAGAATGATCCGATTTAGATCAAATATGTGCCGTTTTGTTCGATAACTAGTTGCCATTTTGAAGGTAATTTCATTATGCCTCTCTCATAGAAGCCCTCGTTCCTATTGGCAAAAAATTGAGACAGTCGATTTTCACAAGCCTCTCTTGAAGCGAATTTTTCACCAGCAAAATTGTTCGCCATGGACAGGAACAGATGGTAATCACTTGGTGCCAGGTCCGGACTATAAGGTGGATGCATAAGAATCTCCCAACCAAGCTCCCGGAGCTTCTGGCGAGTCACTATCGATGTGTGTGGCCTGGCGTTGTCCTGATGGAACACATTTCCTCTCCTATTGGCCAAAGCTGGCCGCTTCTGGGCGATTGCTTCCTTCAGACGGTCCAATTGTTGACAGTACAGTTCCGAGTTAAGAGTTTTGCCGTAGGAGAGCAGCTCATAGTAGATAATTCCCTGCCAATCCCACCAAACACATAGCAAAACCTTCTTGGCCGTCAATCCTGGCTTGGCCACCGTTTCCGCCGGCTCACCGCGATTCGACCACGACCGTTTTCGCTTGACGTCGTAAGTGATCCACTTTTCATCACCAGTGATCAACCGCTTCAGAAATGGGTCGATTTTGTTGCGATTCAGCAGCGATTCGCAGATGGAAATTCGGTCCATGAGGTTTTTTTTCGTTAACTTGTGTGGCACCCATACATCGAGCTTTTTTTTGTATCCAGTCTTATTCAAATGGTTCCAAACGGTTTTTTGTGCAATCTTTAGCTCTTGGGCAATCGAAACAGTGTTTACATGACGGTCGGACTCGACAATGTCCATGATTTTATCGATATTTTCGACAATTGGCCTTCCAGTGCGTAGTGCATCTTTGACATCGAAATTACCGGAACGGAATCGACGAAACCAAAATTGCGCGTCATTGGCTGTTACAGTATCAGGACCATAAACACTATTCACATTTTCAGCCGCCTGGCTTGCGTTTTCGCCTTTATCGAAGAAAAACTGTAAAATATAGCGTATTTTCTCTTTGCTAGTGTCCATCTTTGACGCGCGCTCAAACAAAACTGAGTCAACTAATCACAAAACTGTCAGAAAAGTTTTTTTAGTACGAAATCTCATCTTTCTAACGCCATCTACTGGAACCCGATCGGACTTATATAACGCGAGATACAGATAACTAAAGCCATCTATTGGAAAAATAATGGATTTCTTTTTACTACACCTGATATCAAGCTTTCTGAGAACTTTAATAGTTTTATTGCTATACCCATGTTGTGCACAATTTGGTAAGCATTTTGTCGACTGTGGAATTTTTACATTCGTGTCCCAATTTTGCACAAAACTATTTAATAAAATTATTCATTAAAATTCGAATATATTACATACTAAAATTTATTAATAGAAACTTTAGGAACACAAACCAGCATAATAGGAAAACTATTATTTTAAGCCATATATAATTTTTTATAAGTATTTTATACTTGTATGTATCATATAATATGTTTTCTGTTCTTTCTTTGTGCTACATGCTTTACATAATATGCATGCTTCATTTGTTATTTGTGAAACAGGTTTCAATTTTCATAATTTCTACGGTTCTTCATATTTAATTTTGTTCTAACGTTATTTTATAATATATTATAGTCTTGTTGCATGTTTTTACATATTTTATATTTTTGTTCTGAAAAATGTTATACTAATAATGTTGTTACAATTGCAAATTTCATGTAATCTGTGATATATTTTGTTTTAATTGTAACATCTTAAGAATAATAAAAGGAAATAGTATAACAATGTTAGAAGCATTACTGTATTTTATTTCAATTTTAATTACGACATGCATGAAATGTGTAATAAGTAATTTGTCTCATTTTATATTGCTTCTATTACTTGCTACGATACCAAAATATTTCACTTTGCGCATGATACACATATGACATGCTATATTTTATACTTTTTATTTGTTATATAATTTGCATTTACATTGTAACAGACATTCATATTTTCATATACTACTAACGGTACTATTTGTTTTCCCATTTCAGACATTTTACACTTGTATTTCCTTACTAATTTGGACCTACTACAACAAAGGAAATAAGGAACAGGATGAGCTCCATAGAAGAGAGAATATGTTACAATTAAACAGACGAAATATATATATTTTTATACTTTGTTACATTACATATAGGAATATATTGGGTATACAAATTGGTTCGGTCCGTTTTCAAAAGATGGCTCCGGCTGTTATGAATGGTTCATAGTGACTGCCAATTTTGGCGGTTTTAGAGAGGTTAGACATCTGCCAATAATATTCAGTTTATATCGCTTTGAGTTTCATACAAAAACCTTACTTTTTACAATGTTAAAAATGTCGAATTTTGTGTTAACCAAGCAGCATTTGCGGGAGGTTTTAATTTTCTGTTTTAATTGGAAGAAAAGTGCAGCTGAAGCCCATCGAATGCTTGTTGAAGTTTATGGTGACGCTGCTCCAACTGATAAATCATGTAGGGAATGGTTTCGACGTTTCAAGGTTGCAGATTTCAGCGTCGAAGACAAGCCTCGCTCTGGACAGCCAAAAAAAATCGAGGACAAAGAATTAGAGACATTACTCGAAGAAGATCAGAATCAAACACAAGAGGAGCTTGCAGAATCATTGGGAGTGACTCAACAAGCCGTTTCTGTACGATTGAGAGACATGAGAATTATTCAAAAACAAGGAAATTGGGTGCCTTATGCACTGAAACCGAGAGATGTTGAAAGGCGTTCTTCGTGACAATCATCACAACGTTCGGCCTCATGTCGCAAAAGTCGTAAAAAAATATTTGGACGCTCAAATGGGATGTTTTACCGCACCCACCATATTCTCCGGAGATTGCTCTTTCTGATTACTGGTTGTTCCGAAAAATGCAGCACGATTTGGCAGGTCACCGGTTCACTTCTTCCGCAGATATCAAAAATTGGTTCCAAACTTGGATCGTCTCAAAAGACGAGTCATTTTTTCGAGATGGAATTCAAAAATTGCCTGAGAAATGGGAGAAAGTAGTAGCCAGCGATGGAAAATACTTTAATTGATCTGTTCATTCATTTTGTTTTGAAATAAATACATCTTTTAACACAAGAAACGGACCGAACTAATTTGTACTCCCAATATTATTGCTAACAGTTCCTTTTCTATCGTTGAATAATTTTTCTCTGCGTCATTTAATATTCGTGATGCATAACTTGGTCGATCTTTTCCTATTTGTCCCTGACTTAAAACCGTACCTATTTCTGTTCCTAACGCGTCTGTTGTTAAAAGGAAAAGTTTAGTAAAACCAGGATATTGCAATACTGGTTCTTGACAAAGAGCATTTTTTAATAATTCAAATGAATTTTGTTCTTTTTCTTTCCGTTTGTATTCAATTTCTTTTTTTAACCGATTGGTTAATGGTTTAGCGATTTTTGAAAATTCTTCTATAAATCTTCGATAATACCCCGCTAGACCAAGATATTGTTTAATATTTTTAACATTTTGTGGAACTGGAAAGTTTTTAACGGTTTCCACTTTTGTTGGGTCTGGGCGAATCCCATCTTCTTCAATTATATTGGGATCCTAAATAAGTTACTTCTTTTCGTAGAAATTCACATTTTTCTAGTTGTAATTTCAAATTTGCCTTTCGTAGTCAGTCGATTAATTTTTCAAATTTTATTGCATGTTCTGTTAATGAACTTGAATATAATACTATGTCATCTAAATATACAAAAATTTCATTTCCCTGCATTCCGCTAAGTATTATATTATATCCATTAGTCGCTGAAAAGTTGCATTTTTAAGTCCAAAAGGCATTCTATCAAACTCGTAATGACCATGTGAGGTCGAAAAAGCAGTTTTATGACTATCATTTGGATGCATGCGTATTTGGTGAAAACCTGAGGCTAGGTCAAATACCGAAAAATATTTTGTTCCTCCTAATTGGTCAAGTATCTCTGTTATGTTTGGAAGAGGATATGCGTCGCCCATCGTCTTGTCGTTTAGCTTACGGAAATCTAACACCATTCTCCAGCGTTTATGACCATCTGCGCCTGCCTTTTTAGGTATTATCTACACTGGCGTATTATATGGTGAATTAGATGGTTTAATTCTTGACTAGATGGTTATTTCTTGATTTAAAAGTTCATCAACTTGTTTATTTATTTCTTCTTTTTGGATTACTGGAAATCGATATTGTCTTGTATTTATTGGTGCTTCGTCTGTTGTTAATATTCGATGTTGTAATGCATTTGTATATTCTAACTTTTCTCCGGGTAGATGAAAATAATTGGTACCCTTTTCAATTAGATTTGTTCTCGCTCTTCTCTATTTAAATGTTTTGGATTTAGTAATTCAATTATTTTGCTTTTCCTGGTGTCATGTTATATATAGTAGCAAGAGTTTGTATTTTCATTTGAGTTAGGAATTGAGTTTCCTTTTGTTTCTGAGATTGAGTTTGATTTTGATTTTTGAGTTTGATTATTTTTTGTTTCGAATTCACACACTTTTATTGTTGATACATATATTTCGTGATCTTCTTCTGTAGTATTTATGGCTCTTAGATATATTTTCCTGTTTTGAACTGTAACTAGGGCATTACTTAAATAAATTCCTTTGCTTACAATTAGTTGTGGTACATATCTTTCTTTTAATTTAGGATTAGCAATGTTTATATGAATTTGAGAGATTGATCTTGCAGGAATTATTAAAGTTTCTTCTAAATTTTCTTTGGGTTCAAATGGTATAACAATGTCATCCCATTCTAGACGATTTTCTTAATAATTGACATTTACTTGGAATTGCTTAAAAAAGTCTGATCCTAAGATCCTATCCTGCGGTATTGGAAAGTTATCCTCCATTAAATGAAAAGAGACTGGACATCCTAAGATATCTATCAGTGCCAGCCCTAAGGTGGTCACGTGATGCGTTG